AAGAGAAAACATAGTTTTTCTTTCCCTTTATTTTAGTGTTTGCGTTTTGTATATGAAACGGGGAAACAGACACCGGCCCTTCGTTTCTTTGTAAACAAAATGTTGATTTGGTGAAGGACTCTCGGGCTACAAACCGCGTCAGGTGGCTGAATGGTGAATACACCATATCCTGTGCAGCTTATAGCCCGAGAGTCTTTCATCAACTTTTGTCGCCGCGAAAGCTTCACTTTATACAAAATGGTTATTTGTTATTGACATGAAGTCCTGGCCTAGCCAAGTCCATGTTTGGACCTCGACATTGACAGTTACTTCGTTATGTTTATGATTAAAGGTTATCATGGAGTCTGAAATGTCATCAGTAAACGTTATAACAGACGAGTAGCTAGGCTTGCGTTATTGATACTCCGCGAAAACGCCTTTGTAGGGTCTGCGTTATTGTATCTACGTCTATGGAGAGTAGAGATGACCCTGTCTTGGGTCAAGGGTTCCGTTGCTGACTCCGGGCACGTTCTCTGACAGCAAGACAGACGCTTCATAAATTCCATCTGTGGCACAATTACTTTTACTATCTTTAGAGCCTGATTTGAAATGCATGAAGTTTTGTACAAGAAAGTACTGATAATGGGCCTTGATATTTCATGCTGAAAGGCGTGAGCTTGATCCCGACGGAGGCTTCGAAATTTTTCTTGCTGTCACAATGTACGTAAAGGCTTCTGGAACTCATAATGTGAGTTTGGTTCGTCTTGGCAATGAACTCTACTGCAAAGCTCAAATCGAAGTTATCGATTTGTCAGAAACGACTCATCGAACGAAGAATTTGCACGGATTACGATCTACAACTTTTATGTTGAGAGTTTGTCTGTCCGCATGTTTACACTCTAGATCCTGTAGATAGATTTTCACGAAACTCAGTATGAAAATTGTGCAATTAGAGACCACCTAAACTTCATACTTTTCAATTTCCTACAGTCAATAGTAAAAATATGGCTGTCGCGCGGAATTGTTAGATGGGAAAAGTGCCACTAATGGATCGCTGAAAAACATGTAATTTTTTTAGGTTGGACAATAACAATATGGCTGCCGTGCGAGGATTTTCCTTGGCTCTTTTACTTTGACAGTTAATGAACTATTGGAGCTAGGCGTTTCAAGCTTGGTGTGGGTCGTCTGGGTAGGGGATACCGTGTACATTTTTGGGTGCGTACCAACATTTCGAAGGAACATACTGTTTCCATCTTAAGCACTGAAGTCAGCCCTGAAATGGAGGCTTCCAATACTAGAAGACCACCATAGACATTCCTACTTCACAGATTTTTCTGCGTGTATTGGAATGGGAAGATTATCATGAATTCATTCATCTTCAAAGGATTTTGAATAAGATGGTTGTGACTTCGGCCCATAAGAATGTACTAGATATGTGAAGGATAACCCCATACTATAATATTTGTTTTTAAATACTGTAAATCCTTGTTCTTACATCAGATTGAGAAACCAGATCTCACACGTAACAACTTTTCGCCTTAAAGTAAAACGTTGCGTGTCGCAACATTTTGAAATAACAAATGTTTCCTCCCGAGTCGCCTTACATAATCAAATTCCCGTCTCTGAGGAGTAGGTTCAGCGCACGGAAACAAACCACTGATGTACACATCACGTTAATACGAGACTCGTTATCCACTTCTCCCGCAAGTCCATTGAGAATGACTTGGCAAAGGTATTTTTGGATCGTTTGTTTCCAGTCTTACACTGAGTTCGACAGGCCGGAAGACAACATTAGCTCCAGCGCTCCGTACGCTGTCAGCTTTGCTAGAAATAAACGCCAGAATCTGTCTGTACGAATCGGATTCCATTCTGTGGAAAGAACTGGCCTGAGATGCTATAAGAAATTACACGTTCAGTATTACGGTATGTCATTATGCTGAATGTGTTGTTAATAGTAATCTAGAGTTAATTATTAATAAGTCTTCTCGGACTACGAGCCGTGTTCGTTGGTGATCAGTCGCCGACGTTTCGAGGACCTTCTCTGTCCTCATTTTCAAGCCTGATAGCCCAAGAAGACTTTATTAATTAAAGCCGCCGTGAAAGCTTCAAATCATATAGAGTTAATTATTTTGTGTTTTTAGTGTTAATTAAATTAATTTCATAATGATATTGAACTGGATTGATCGATGGTTTTATATCGACTTCACTGTAGTCCTACTGGTTATTAGAGGCTGTCGACGTATTCAACACGTCAGACTGAAGCTTAAAAAATAATTTCGTATTGCAGCTGATCCGCGAAAAAATGCCCAGCTTAGAGTTAGGCGCCAGTTTAAGTGCATCCTATTACGCTTACGATGTCGATTCGATTCTTGTGGTCTCGAACACAATTCTGTCCTTGGGTCGATGATCATAAGCAACAGAGTTCGGGCTCCGTCTATGTCGGTTTGAGACTTCCTCAGGGTTCAGGATCGAACATCGGATTATAATTGGAGGTAGGATTTGAGGTTTTCACAGCCGTGGGGTACGAAGATGGCTGTATTCTGGGTTTGTAGCGCCGTGCAGTCTGGTGGAAGTTTGCCAGCGTTTCAGAGGTACTTGCTGCCTCCATAATCATGGCAATGAGTCATCGTCCTGATGATGGAGGCAGCAAGGGTCTATGAAACTTCGGTAAACTTTCACCAGACTTCTCTGCGTAACAACCCTGAATACAGCCATATTCCTTCCTAGTTCGTCATTCGTAAAGGTTTTGATATTTCTCTTGCGGTGCCTTGTGGCCAGTGCAGTTGGTGTGAGGACATAGTTATGCCAACCAAGAAAACAGGGATCAAGCATGTTTGAGTGCCCACAACAACCCTGGCATCTAGTACGATACGTACGTGAATTATTGCGTGTAAGATAGAAGCTCGTCTGGTATGTACGAAGGTCCCGCAGATAAGCTACCTTGGCGTAGGTGTTGCGATGACGAAGCATGGAGAAGTCAGTGTACGGCACTGATAGAGTGGACTTGGTGTTTCAGTAGTGGTTGCGGTCGTTGAACACGTGCAACCTGCCGTAACTTTTCTCGCACGCAAGACCGGCCACTCGTCTCTCGGTGGGGTCCAGCATGAGAAACTTCACTATCCAGGGCGTGACCATTCCAGATGATGCTGCCTATAAAGACGTCGTCGTCATAGGTATGTACCGGCTTCAAAATATTGACCTTCACTAATGGCATTGCTAGAATTTCGATTGTATGCAGAGAGACCTGTACCAAGTATAGCTACTCCTTGGAGGTGCAGGAACACGCTGCCTGAAGACTGTTTGTGCTGGGGCTTGGGATCGTGGCACCGTCCACATTCGCTGAGGCACACGAGTAGTTTGGACCTATCGTAAGACGGGTCAGAGTAGGAAGCGGACGTAGCTGATGTCTTGACTGGCGAGATTGCGGATTGTATGAGGGATGGTAATTCCCGCGTATAAGTCTTTATGTGGAAACTTTTTTTTTTTGCGTCTTGAGAGACGAATCAGTCTGAACATGGAATATTAACAAATGTGAAATTATCAATTCTTGAAAATTATGCTTGTCGTACCTCTGGATTACACACTTTATAAACCGTGTTGGCTCCTTTAAAAACGAAGAATAAAAATGCAGTGTTAGACAGCTTCACCCAGCCAGGTGCTTAACTACCTGTCTCAACATAGCCTAGCTAGACCTGTGTTACAGTACAGTTTATCTGATCAGTTCTGCTATGTTCTGGTATATAGAGTACCACTGAACCATGAAAGTAAGACAAAGTGTTAACCATTTAACATGAACGTGGTTAGCAAGGTACATATCTTCGAATCTTATCGACTCAGAAGGTTGATTTAAGTGGCATTAACTTCCCAGATACATCAAAATAATAAAGATGCTACAAAATGGTACCACTGTTCAAGTCCAGATGCTTGCAAATGGTGTTACATGCCATTATTCAACATTAATGCCATTTTTATCGTGCTGTGAATTTTCATTTCATAAACACAATAAGCCAAATGTAGACGAGTATTGGGTGTGAAATTAGAGCGTATCATTTACAAGTATCTACACTTTTCAACCAGACTCCAATTTCTGTGCTTTCATGTAGATCTCTCCAAGCTACACAGCTACGTCACCCAAGTACACCAGGTTCTGTTACAAAATCTTTGACAGTCAAAAATGTGTAGAATCAATTTATTCTTTCGGAATTTTGATAAAGTTACAAATTGACTTATAAAGGAGGTACTGGGACAGGAGACGTGTTCAAAAAAAGTGTAAGTTTTTCTCTTGTGTATTGCTTTTTCAGGGAATGGTCCCTCTGGTATAGCTCTTTCATACCTTTTAGCAGGAAATTGGCCTTATTATAACGGAGCAATTCACCCGGATGAAATGCTAACAGCACGACTTTCAGGTGCCCCTCCTGGGCGCTCTATTGTAAAACAGGATCTTCGTTTCTTGTCGCAGGTATGTGCAGTTTCTCTGGTGTACTAAATTGTTGTTTTCAGGCAACATTAGTTTCTCTGATACCGTCAACTGCTTATTTTATTTCTGCATAACTTTCAGTGGCAGATGCACTTACGTTGCCATTGCTTTGGTTAATGTGACGTGCTGGGAAGTATCAGGGTCACTCCATTAAACACCTATAAAGGACGAAGAGCATTTCAGTTAACTGTGTTAGTTAGTTAAGGTACTCAGGAAGATAAGACTTAGTAAGGACGAAATAAGTGGCGAACTTATAATATTATATAACGAGAAGCTGGATGAATTGTACGGGTGACCTAGCATAGTGAGGATAGTGAAATCTAAGATGCTCCGATGGACAGGACATGTGGCACGCGTGAGCGAGGCAAGGGGTACATACATAATTTTGGTGGGAAATTCTGGAAATATTGTGTGAAAAATACTTACGTGGTGTCAGAAAACATGCTTTGTTAATGTCATCAGTTTTTGGGAGTGATTATCACAGTGAACAACTGTTAGGCTTAATGAAGAACATAAAATCAAGAACCAGCTAACATCTGAGTGATGAACATTTGGAAGAATGCGAGTGAATCACAACGAGAGAAATTAAACCAGATGTTAAAATATATCTGAAACAAAAATTTTGCCAAATATTTCGCTAATGACTGATTTTGTTAAAGAAAGTTATTGAGGAATATGTGAACCTGTTTCTGGTACAGGTAGCTCTCGATTTATGCCGGGTATGCGTTCCTGGACGAACCGGCTTAAATTGAAACTCTTTTATAATGTAAATCGATGGGAAGTCAATGACATGCGTTTCCAGCACCCAAACATTGACGAGTAATATAATGGCATTACATTTAGAGCTCTTAAATAACGTAAATAAAATAAAGGGAATTTAAAAAAAATATGTTTTATACACTTAAAATCGGAAATTCGTTGGTCCCCGCGATTGACTGTGATTGATGTGTACAGTCATTTCTGCTGTTATGCGATAGTTGCATTCACGTAAGACGCCGACCTATAGAAAATCGCGTAATAAAAATAACCCCGGTACCTCCGCAGAGATTAAATTAGTCCCTTGAAAGGTTAAATCGCCAGGAATGAAATTGCATAAGAGCAAACTCGCATATGCAAAAGTCTGCATTTCACAAACAGATTTTACCGATTCATCGATCTCATTGGAGCCAATTCGCGTTAACGAAACATACGTAATTGCAGAGGTGACTGTATTTATAATTTTTATTCAAAATCAGCGATGTAAGAATTACGATTTAGTATAAGAATCCATACGAGATACATTGTAAAACGTTATAAATAATAGTAAAATATATTTTTTTCACTTTTTGAATTGCGGGTTTCAAAATCGTCGTTATTCTGAATCGGCGCAAATCGAGGGCTACCTGTAGTAAGTTGATAGATGCATGTTCAGTAATATGTATTTACATATAGCCTTGTGACCCATGAATCAATAATCAAGGATAAATGTGGAGAATGTTGAAACCCCCTGGTGTTGATACTTAAAATTCTCCTGGCAAACGAGAATTTACACATTATCACATATGATGTTGGTAAAGTTTTAAATTTGTTTAATGGTGCAGGGACTTGAAGGACGCTCGAACAACCCAGTTTCCTTGCTTATGGACACACTGAATCACCCGTGTGCAGACTTGGGATTGGAACTGCCTTCCTTGTTGGAATGGCACCACCATCCAGAGTGTCAGGTGGATCACATTGTGTTGGGAAAAGGTCCGCCTGGCGGATCTTGGCAGGTAATATACTTTATATTACTCTTAAAGAAGCAGATCAACTAACATTTCTGAGACATGGTCAGCCACTCCGGCTATTACCCTTTTGAACTCGAGTGACGTTTTCTTGGCCTCGGGTATCGGCCTACTAGGCCTGTCATACCTTGTATCAATTGTTGCATATGCAGCAGAAACTTGGACATTGGGAAGGAAGGAGATACAGAAGGTGGAAGCAATGGGTATGAAGTTTGTGAGGAGTGTGTTGGGTATGACAAGGAGGGATAGAGTCCGGAATGAGGGAGTTAGGAAACGAATGGATGTGAGGGGTGTGGTGGAGAGAGTAGAGGAAGCAAGAATGAAGTGGTATGGACACGTGAAGCGAATGGGAGAAGGGCGGATACCACGACACATGAAGATTTGTGTCTTCTGGGTTGTTGCGCTGTGTAGTATGGTCGATGTTTACCAACGTTTCATCGCCCTGATGACGGAGGCAGTATGACCTCTGAAACGTTGGTTAACATCTTCCAGACTACACAGCGCAACAACCCAGAAGACAGAAATATTCATACTCATCGCCCTGATGACGGAGGCAGTATGACCTCTGAAACGTTGGTAAACATCGACCAGACTACACAGCGCAACAACCCAAAAGACAGAAATCTTCATACTCACCGCTGTGAGAACCTCAAATCTTACATATTTAACTACATTTAAAGTAATAATCACAAGGAAAATAAGTTGAGTTGTGAGTGAAATTGATGATGGTGTAATCATTGCTAGAGCATCTTGTTGTATGGAGAAAATAATGACTACAATAAATTGTGGAGGTAAGTTATGTAATTCCACCTCAAGTTAGTGATAATATTAAAGAAGCCTGTTCCAAAACATGATTCTGTATTGGCTGTTTGCTTATCTGTGTTTTTTAATGTATTTTGGTGGCCTACTTTGCAATGCTGTTGTTGCGTGAGCCGTAATATATTCTTAAGATCACAGGAGGGCCCTTTGAACATGAGGTACAATTTAAATTCGTTTCTTTGAATGCTTAAATTTTCAGGCTTTAGCCAACATGGGATTTGAATATGTTGTCCCAAATGTTGGACTGATTTTCACACAGTACCTGTGTAAGATCCACTTATGATTTATGTATTTCAACCTATGATTCACTAAGAAGTCAAATTTCAATTTACATAATTTTTTAGGCTCAATTCAACATTGGACCTAAATATATTTTCTGAATAAGTCTGATACAGAACCAAAAAGCGTTAAAGATGATGTGATTACATTCATATCATTACACGATGATTTCTACAGGCAATGGATGGAAATATCCTGACGATTAGTCTAGGAAGTTGGATGGAACTGCCCGGTGTGGACTTTAGAGCGTGGGAAGCAGCTGGAAATACTGGCATGAGCAGTGGTCCCACTAGTTCACGTGACAGTCGTGCATCTGTTTCTTCGCTGGCACGTTACTACTATGACTACGTCCATAATCAGGGTCTCGCTAAATTTTTCCGGAACAGTTGCGTTGTAACATCTGTTCTTCCATTGGACACCTCACATTCCCAGGTACGTCATATATATAAGCTTTATAAAATAAAATAAAATTATTTACTATATATAATAGGTTCTTATTAAAATATTTTTCCTTGAGCACATTCAGTTTTAAATAACATTTTCATGTATCTTCTTTAAAAAAAATTATCTTCATTCACTGACTTCCACCTGCACACACAATAATATTGGTTACCGAGTTTATTCATGCAGTGTTCTGCTCGTCATTATTAGTTTGAGAATGACTGCTGTATGGCAACAGAAGACTTGCCATTGGATTGAATCCCCTTGCATTGGAAATCCTGGCATGAATAAATAATCTGGAAGGGAGATTTGGGAAGGGACAGGAATGTCACAGGATGCAAGATTGTACAGAACGCCCTGAAATATAATAATAATAATCCGTGGCGTAACAGCCCTCTGAGAGCCTAAGCCGACTAGCTGGCTGCTGGTCTCACGTTCACATGCCTAAGCAGAGGTGAACGATCATCCAACCAGATATAGGGTGACGTGTGGTCAGCACGACGAACCCCCAGCCATTGCTAGCTTTCCTGACCGGATTACGTTACTCATTGTAGCTCCCCAATTTCCTCACGATGCTGGGTTGGCACCGGTCCCAGACACCGGTCAAAAATCTCATGAGAAATTTCTTCTCCCCCAAGACTCGAACCAGCGTGCATTCCGTATCACCGGTCCGAAGCATGATGCCTCAGATCGCGCGGCTACGGCTTGGGATGTCCTGAAATATAAAGGAGCCCTAAATACTATATTACTTCACAGTAAAATGATACTACATAATATGTAGTACCGAAATCTACAATGTGTGGAGCATCATATATCAGCAACAGGCACAGCTCTGTGAATACATGTACAGTCCATGACTGTAATCTTGAGACTTGTGGGGTGAAGGAGGAAGGAGGAAAGATAGCGTCTGCCTTTAATGCTACGGACTTCCTGCATTCCTTGCAAGTCTCAAGATTACAGTCGTGGACTATATATTGGTCTAGTGTTGTATGTTTTCTTTCTGCATGAAGGAGAAATTATCATGCCTTTAGAAAGTTGGAATTAACCAAAAACCGGTGTATTAAATTACATATTTTACAGAATAAAGAAACCATTGATCCAGAAACAGGAGTTCAGCACTGTGAGCCTCGAGCACTGTGGCGGGTGGAAGGATTTGATTTGTCAGATGGCATCCCATTCTGTTACATATGCCGTCGAGTTGTATTGGCAACAGGCCAATCAGATCTCCCAAACAGGTTGGGTGTATCCGGAGAATTGAATAATCCCACGTGGGTTCTACATGACCTGAGGTCACTGGAGGCAGCACTGGACAGACTGGTAGAGGAGGAGGAGGGAGACCGAGAAGGCAAGTTACATTTTTATTTATTTATTTTTGACTGCAAATGGGTTTTTACCCGGTGGCAGTGGTCCTACATTAAGACACAACAAAACAATAAGACACAAAAAACATAAGACACAACAAAAACAATGCGATACAACAGAACAATGCGATACAACAAAACAATGAGCAAGAACAAAACAGTAAGACACAAAAAAACAATGAGACACAACAAAACAACACACCACACTCAAAATAAAACAACTCATAATATTACAAAACCATATAACCTAAAGTACATACCTTAAAAATTAATACCATCTAGACATAAGACAGTAACAGTAATGAATTACATACGTCATGAACTGATGCACTCACATTTCATCAGGACCTTCTCTACACTTCACTACACTTATGTAGCCTTCCCATCCTCACCCCAATTTACCCCCCTTCACTGCACCCATCCATATATTCCCTTTACTTTACCTCATTTATCACTTTTCTAACCTTCTTTCTAAAAGTACTTGGTTTACAGGAGAGAGTCCCTAAAACATCAGCAGGTAGCTGGTTCCAGAGTTGGATGGTCCTATTTACATGGATCTAGCACCCAAATTTTACCTACTGTCTGGCTCATGATGATGCCTCTGGAATGGATGTTAATCAATTTTTTTATTTTTGAGATGGATGCTGAATTTTATGTACGGTTCAATATCAACACAGTAACCTGTAATATATTGTGCCAAATTGTGAAGGGGAACCTACACAGACCTGCAATGTCAGCGCTTTGTGTGTGTTGGTTTAATTAACTTCCTAAAATTAAATTTATTTGGGTTTGAGGATGTAGACATACTTGTAACCACAGTAATACCATTATATCATTGTAAACAGGATACTGTAAAAAAAATTGCATTTCTTGGATTCAGGAGTTCCAACTGAGCCGCGTTGTGATCCTGTTTTGATTGTGGGTGCGGGACTTAGTGCAGCTGATGCAGTAATAGCAGCCAGATTTCGGTCACTCCCTATTCTGCATGTCTTCAGGAAGAAGGCAGGCGCATTGGGGAAGCAGCTACCAGAAAACATGTACCCAGAATATCACAAGGTCTGTCTAAGGTAGCAGCCTAGTGTCTGGCCTAGATTTGTTAAACAGTCTGATTCTTTCTTCTATACCAGCTATGTTCTCAAAAACCCTCAGTCTGAATTCTTCCATTAATATAATAAATCAGGTTTTATAGTTGTACAAAACAATGGGTAAAATTATGGTTTGTGTATTTTAACCTTTACATATTTAGACAGCAACGATTCCTCAAATTAGTCTATCTCATTGTGAATTCAATTTGGATTTGTTACAGGCATTCCCAAACATCCGAACTTGTCACATTTTTTAAGGATTTATCAGCTACCTTTATATTATGATTTTTCCTGTAGTTTGTTGACGAGACATGAATGTACCCTTAGTTCTTTGCGTTTACTTACAGGCCAATTCCCTTACTAACATCTAATTGATCTTCTGTGTTTTATTTATGCCATTTATATTTTGATCAAATAAATTTTCACCAGAAACTGATGCATCCCATTCATTTCCAGTCCCTCTCTTTCATCTCGTATTGTCCTAATTGCAATTTCTCAAAGCCAAATTGAAAACGGTGGTGATAAAACATCTTTCATTAGGGTAGGAATGGCTTTATGAGTCACATCCAGCCACTTGGTGGAGAATAATGATCAAGGATTGTATCCGATACCTTAATTATTTTTTTTAGGTACATCAGATGATGGGCGATGGTGGAGCGACTTACCCATGTTACACAGCCCTGGCAGAACACAGGGTACTGGAAATCTCATCAGATCATAAAGTGTGTGTGGTTGGACCAGATAATGTAGCTTCTGTGCACAGGGTATCGGTAGTAGCAATTCTTATAGGGTCACGGCCCGATTTGAATTTTCTACCTCCTGGGCTTGGTCTGGGTAGAAAGCCTTCAGAGCCAATTGACTGTCGATCAAACCCCATTGACGTGGACCCTTACACCCACGGAGTCGTCAGGGCTCCTCCAGGCATGTATACTTTAGGGCCACTTGCCGGTGATAACTTTGTGAGATTTCTCCAAGGTGGTGCTGTTGCTATTTCAAGTCATGTTAATAAAGAACTACAACACCAAACAGTTTTGTGACCTGGCACTTCTTGGATCTTCAAGGGGCATGTGTTTTGATAGTCCCCCGAAGGATTGGTTATTTGGTATGCCACGAAAATATAAACCGGTGTGTTCTGCACAACCTTTATTTCTGATCTGACAATCATGTCTTGTTTTTCGAGGTTATAATGACATTAAATCACTTTCTAGCTCTTTAAAGACTGTTGTTGGGTTTGCGCATTTAAATAACCAATTTGCTGGAATTATATTACCAAAAATGGAGTTTCTTGTTTTGTCAGCTAGGTTTCAAACTGAAGTCAGAAAGTTTGAAAAATGTTTATGTCTGCACAGTACACCTGCTTTTGGTAATGAATGTCAACCTCATTGGTATTAGTAGAGTGTACTTGCTGTAATGCCAGTTGTCATTTTCTATGTTGCTATTTTTATGACAGTATCTGTAAGGCATGATCACTCTGTCTAGAATGAATTGTGTTAATTTGGAATTCAAAATCGGAGTGCTTTATACGTACATGCGATGTTTATCGACCCTGTTACACAGAATAATAGTTAACACATGCAGGTGATTAGTATGGTGAAATTAACTATTTAAACTTTTGTGCGAATTTAACACAAAACTGTGTGAAAATTCTTGTGTTCAGGAGATGGTGTTCAAAGGGGGCACCGGATTACCACACGTTTGCAGTATCAGTTGATTATGATGCACCTACTGTAATTGATGACATAATTTATGAAAATCAGATTGTTCCCACTTGAACATACTGTCATTCATGTAATCTACATAGCAGTTCATAGTACAGAACTGGAGTCTTCAGCACCATTATTACTAGGGTTTGGATGTTCATGACCTAAAAAACCGAGAAATATGCCCCAAAAAATAGCTAAATATGACCTAATTTGTTATATAAAATTTTTTGCTAAAACTAAAATAAAGCATTTTGTATTACGATCATGTTATTTATTTACATATGCATGTACAACTACTGCATTACTTGATTTCCTAGAAATTTTAATCCAAAACCTCAGTCGCTTTAAGTTGTAAATGCCTCGTTTTGGATCAGCATTAGATGTTGAGAATACATGTTCCTATAAAAAGAAGATAAATGTAAAAGAAGAGCCTTTTATGCTTATCAAATTCATTAATTACAAATAAATAAAATTCAAAATATGTACCTTTCTTCATTCTCCTTTCTTGGTAGCATTACAATATCTATAACGATGTGCATTTTCAAGGTCTCGAACGAAAATCTTTGATTGTCGCTCAATATGTACTTGTTCCTTTTGACATTGCACGACATCACTGGAGAATATTTGAAGACGGTTAAATTATTACTCCAAACTTTCACGTACATCTGCGCCAACTGCTTCTAGGCGAGAAATTATAGTTGCTATGCCTCCATCAACTTGTCGACTTCTGTCTAATTTCTTCGGAAACTGTGCCATATACGGTGCAGGGCCCATTACAAAAAGGAGGATATTGTCTCACTTAAGAAGGAACCAGAACGGTCAGCAAAGAGCGTGCCAATAACGACATTCGCTACATATCTGCCGCAGACATCCGTTGTTCCATCAATCGAAACCCAAATCTTATTGTCGCCGACAGTACATGTAATTCTTTTTAGAACATCTTCATAACAGGAAGGTAACTTGTTTTTTTATAGTGCTGATTCGTCTGGAATTAACTGAGTCATGCATTTCTCCAAGAAAGTTTTAAACTGCTCATTGTTCACTTTGTTCAGTTGGCAGACACCGTCATTTCACACAGGTCCTTTGAAAATTCTGATGTTTTGTTTGATGGCGAAGGTGTCGCAGTGTTAGTGAACAGAAGTCGTTGCTCGCTTTGATGACTGGTTTGTCGGCTCAAATTATTTTTATGTTTTGGCATATCACAATGTTGTTGCACATTAAATCGCTTACCAGCTGTAACTTTGACTTCACAAAGTTTACAGAACAGAATTGTTGCATCAGAACTAAAATATTCCTCGCCAAAATCTTTAATGAAACCTCATAACTTCGCGCTTTCAGAACACTTAACTTTTGGCATCTTAACTAACTGAAGGATTCACTGTAAATGCCTGAGAAATGTAGTCACAAACAAGAATTTTATTCTTATAATATAACCAAAATATGCATTTTAACTACAAATATGACCAAAATGTACATATATATGAAAAATAAATGTCTAATTGTGATTAGAATAACCCAACTAGTGTTTAATTTCAGTTTACAATGAAAATAGAAGTCTGAATAAAAATATGATGTCAAACATCCGAACCCTAATTATTACTGTCAAATGTATATATTTAATATATATCACATTATGTAAAACTATTTTATTTGACTGGTAACTGTAAGTGAATGTACATTCAAAGAGTAGGAATGTGAATTTAAGATGGAGCAGAATGTCATGATTCTTATTTTGTAAACCAGGGGACCGAATGATCTAAGCCTGATTCCAGATCTTCATGTCTCAGCTGATGTTCATTTACCAAATTTAAGCTGGTTATTGTGTTAGTCATCATCCTGTCAGTGGGAGTGAATTGAATCCTGTGCTACAGACAATCTCACATCTGCAGTTGATTTCTGTCTCATTCAGTTAAAAGAGTAAAGGATAAGTACTGTTATAAAGTAGCGAATTGTGGATGATGTTGATTAATGCAGATATTATTTATTAAAGAAAATAAAAACCACGTTTTTTTAGCTTTCATAAATTATTACCCAAATCTTAATTTTTTTGTAAAGGTAGAGTTGTCCCTGGTACTTATTAAGCAACATGCCATGAACATGTATAAGGAGTGGAGGCATAATGCTACTCTTTGTTAACCTCAGCACTGGATGGAGGCGAGTGGTCAGCTTCATGCCCCATCCTCTTTATGCCCAAAGAAATAGCCCCAGTACCCATTGGATTGGGGGCTGGGAAGGCCTGAGACCTATTCTGGTTGTGGTAGATAAGAAGAAAATTTCTTGCCCTTGCTGAGAATAAAACCCCTATTATTCAGCCCATATCACAGTCACTCTGAACTAATAATAGCATGAGGGATTTGGACATATCCTTGAGAACAACCTAGAAAAGAAAATTTGTTGATGTTTAACCCCAACACGCATAAACACGGAGTAGGGTCCATAAGCCTGCAATCCATTTTATCTCCCTGAAAAAGGAAAATAGGCTAAAAGATTGGACAGGTTTAAATCTGGTGACCAAGGACTCCTCAGTCCTTAACAAATGTTTACCAGATATTTCAAGTAGTACCTTGTGTGGACTGTAGCATTATACTGCAAGAGCTAATTTCTTTTATTGTCCAAACAACTCGATCTAGTCCCGCGCCGTAGCCGTGCGGTCTGAGGCATCGTGCTTCAGACCTGTGATACGAAATGCGCGCTGGTTCGAGTCTCGGGGGAGAAGAAATTTTCTCATGAGCTTTCGACCAGTGTATGGGACTGGTACCAACCAAGCATCATGAGGAAATTGGGGAGCTACAATGAGTAGCGTAATCCGGTCATGAAAGCTAGCAGTGACTGGGGGTTTGTCGTGCTGACCACACGTCACCCTATATCTGGTTGGATGATCGTTCACCTCTGCTTAGGCATGTGAACGTGAGGCCAGTAGTCAAGCTAGTTGGCTTGGCTCTCTGGAGCTGTTATGCCACAGATTTAATTTTTAATATAACAACTCAATCTTTGTGTTGAGACTGTGTTCTTAGAAAAACAGGACTAGTAGTGTTCATTATTTGTATAGCAACTCCGATGTGAATCAAGAAGTCCACTGAACACAGATTCCTAAAACCACATACTATATTTAATTTTTACATCTGTCAATATAAGAGGTTGTAGTAATGGTTTTGTAGGTTCACAGCTTTAACCCTTTCAGATATAAAGTTCATCTAAATAATAATTTAAAATTTAGTTCCTACATCAAGGGAAACATATATATATATATATAATGATATTGAGTTGTTGAATGTTGAAGTAGGTGGTACATATAAGTTATCTCCAGGAAGGTAGTTTTTTTTTTAGTACAGCACAAGAAAAATTATTACATAGACAAATACAGATCAAAAACATGTTTTAGTAAATAAATGAAATGTTTTATTTTTAATTTTAAAAATATCAGCACTATGAAATCACATATTTAAAAGGTCTCTGCAAATTTTAACATATATATTTGAAATGTAATTTTCG